AATCTCTGATCTTAATCTCTCTATCTTCATGATAGATGTAGGTGTGTAGAGGCTGTGACAGTGATAGAGCAGTTGAAGAGCTCATGTCAAAATGCACAGTGAGTTCAGAAATCTCAGATTTCTGCTGAAGTAGAGATGTACACACTCTAGGAAATGATGTAGTGTTTCTCTCAGAGAGTGATGTCAGATCAGTCCCAGTGTGAGTGTATGAGATTATATCAGTCTGTTAGAGCTCAACTGATTCAAATGTGTAATCAGATTAAGTGATTTGAATTGTAATGTGTGAAACTGAAGCAGTGACTAGTTGATGATAATATATAGAAGTAGTTGTTTTAAGAAGCTGTATGAGTGGGCTTGACTATCTTGCTTGAATAGTGAGCTTGTAGGCTACAGGGTTATTGCGAGGATATCACAGATATGATACTTAGTATACTAAGAAGATTGTATGAGATATGCAGTAACTCTTGTGTATATTTCTGTAGAAGTAAAATGAATCACTGACTTCTTTGATAAGAAGCCAGCATCTAGCTATTCTATATAGACAATGAGCGGATACTCTTCTCTCATTTCACAAGTGAGAATAGCTGGAGCAATACCTCAGCAGCACCTCATTGTCAAGGAAGAGTAATCTGCTGACCTTGTATAGAAGTGAGGTTCTTATATTCATCAATCAGATCTTTCTATAATATATCTGAATGATGTCATAGAGTGGTTGAAAACTGGTTCAGACAGAATGAAATCATCTGCATGAAAGCGATGGGCCGTGTGGAACCGCAACGGGGCCTTGGCGCGGCCGGGAGCGTGACAGTCAATATAGAAATGCATATATATATGTGTAGAAAAATTGAAGAAGAGCATGAAATCTACAGAATCAGAAGTCAAGACAGAGAGAGCAGAGATAAAAGAAATAGAAGAAGAAGAGAACATAGAACTGAATAAATAATAATAAAAGCTACTTAAGACTGAATACTTATAATCTGATATACACACAACCTTCTCTGCAGAGAAGAAAGAGAAAGTGATAAGAAAAGCTTAAGAGTGAGAGAGAATAGTCTCAGTAGTATTATCATCTTCAATTAAAATAATCTCTAATGCTGAAGTAACTAAGAACTATTATTAGTATACAAAACTATAAAAGCAGAGATAATAATTACTGAATAAATACTCACTGATCTTAGAATTGTATATACAATTATAACATGCACAAGACTTCTCAGAAAGAGAGAGAGAGATACAGAGAAATATAGAAAGTAGAATACAGTGTATAAACAGCTCATTCTTATAATAATATCTCAGATAAGATGTATGAGTCTCACATTCACAGGTGTAAAAAAGTACAATATTTATATTTCTGTTTCTGAAAACACAGATATTCTTCATCTGTATTACAAAGTCAGATAATAAATATCAGAGAATAGACTAATACAGATCAATTATTCTGAAGATATTCATTAGAGTAGATATATTCATAATATTGAATTTAATAGTTATAAAAAGTTTCTTAATATCTGTGAATATTATAACTTCATATATAATAAAACTTATAATAATTTTCTCTAAGAACAGAAAAATCAGCATCAGAAAGAAAAGATGAAAAAGAAAAAGACTTATAATTTTAACACTGTTAAGAGAGAGAGTGATTCTCTGATATGAATAAATAATTATTTTATCATAAATATTTAAAATGAACATAATAATTAATGTCTGTAACTAAGCTTCAGATAGTTATATTTAGACTAGTCAGCAGAATCATGAATTTCACATTTGATTTCATTTGATCTGATCTCATACATTTCTTGATGTGAGTTTCACTAGAATCAAGCCTCAAAAAAATCTGAAAATGGACCATTTCTGAGAGAAATGATGTGAAAAATGACCAGATTTAATTCAAGAACAGTGAAATGAAAGTAATTTCTCAGAATAAACTGTGAAAGATGATCATTCTTTTAAAATCAGAATGAGACTGAGACTGAAGATTAAAATCAGTCTCATTCAGTTCATTCAGTGATTACTTATATAATCAGAATTTGATAATAATTATTGATAATACTCATGAAATAACTAAATACATTCTTGTACAAGTTTATTCTTCACTTTCTCATGAAAACTACACTTCTCTGATATACTGTGATCAGAGGTATTAAACTGTCTGATAATTCCATGTTTTATAATCATGAGTTTCTTGATTATTTCTCCTTGTAATTGTCTCTGACAATAGTGATAAATATCTCAACTTGAGTTGAACTTTCACTTCATTCTCACCTCTGTTAATGAAATTGTTAGAATATCACATGTCATCAGTGCAATAGTTGAATATATACTCTCAACAATTTTTCATAACTCTAGAATTGATTTAGTGTGTAAATTTATCAGATTATCTTGAAGATAGCAGTCAAATTCAGTTTTACAAGCATGTAATTTTGCCTGATTTTCAGTTGTAATCAATGTATGCAAGTTCTGTTTCAAAGTTAGTATTATAGTTCTATGAGATATGAAGTGTTATCAAAGATTATTACTTACTAGAGAATTGTATTTCACTGTCTTCATATCTTGAACATCTGCTCATTCAAATCTCTGATAGTTTGTATTGTAGTAGTCTTGAACTAATTTAATATATAAGTCTCATTTCTTCTCTGTTCAATCTTGAGAAGTGTAGATATTAACTCAATGAGAGAGATCTAGTAGAGCTGCTACAGCATAGTACTCTGCAAAAGATTGTTCAGTTTTACTGTAGTAATATGCCAGTTTATTCCTTGCAGTAATAATAGCCTGTGCTATGACATCATCTCAGACTGAATTTCTTTTTAAGTGATTCAACTGCTTCTTAAGATGAGTAAATAAACTGTTATACACTCATCAGACTGACTGCAGCATTGATGTACAAGTGATTGAGACTGTCTTTATTATCTTATAAAACTGAAACAGTAAATCAATCATATATTTCAACTGAGTTCACTTTATATCAGAAAGTTTCAATATCTGAATCTTTTCTCAATCAGAGTGTTGCATTCAATGATCAATTATCTGACACAATCAAAGAGTCTGAACAGTCATCTTATATATTGAACTTTATTATATTCTAACATTCTGTATCATATTCAGTGATGTGACTGATTTATTTATTTATTGAATATCATGAAATCATTATTATTGTTTAGAGGAGATACAAATCACATTAGCAATGTTTCAAATCTGTGATATTTAAATTATTAGTCAATCTATTCAAAATTAACAGTAGCATTATCAAAAAGCATTATCAAAAAGCATTATCAAAAAGCATTATCAAAAAGCAATATTAAAAAGTGTTGTTAAAAAACATTATCTTTTGCAAAGTGAATGCAAAAGTTACTTAAGTAATCACTTTCATCTCATTCTCATTTCAAGAATCAGTCATCTCATTATTCTTCATCTCAATGTTAAGATTCTTTATCAGTGTTTGTATCACAAGTTGAACCACATGAGCAATGCAGAGAATATGACCTTATTTATCATTTCAGAAATGCAAAGCCAATTTTTACTTCAAGCTCTCTATTATAGTGTAGTTATTCACAGCATTATCAGTTATAATTGTAAGAAGACTGAGACTAATATCTCAATAGTCATTTTTAATCACAGTTATTAATATCTCTGTTATATAATCCTCAGTATGACTACTGATCAATGATTCAAATTCAATTAATATCTCTTAATAAGTTCAGTTCTCATCAATATAATAACATGTAACTCTTATAAATGCAAGATTGTTTGTACTACTTCATGTATTCACTGTAAGAGACACTCTTCAATGATTCTTCAACTCTGATTCTAGATGTGATATATTGACTTTATAGTGTGTCTCAAGGTTGAACTGAAGACAGAATTGATATGAAATATGAAGATGTGAATTAAGCATTTGAAGAAGTGTTCAGAATTTGAAGTTTTCAATTGATTAAAGAGAAAGATTCAGAGATATACACATGTGAAGTAATTATTCACAGAAGTTATCAGATAAGAGTTGTGAAATCAGAGTACTGATATATAATCATTTTCACATGATTTTCTTCAAATTAGAAAGTTAGTGTTATCAAAAATCATTATCTAATAGAGTAACTTATCAGCTCAGTAGTAATTTTCTGATTATTTTTCTTTTATTGTCTGCATTCTGATGACTTCAGATGTTGAAAAATTTCTTCAGAGCTATGATCAGTTTATGATAAATGTTTCTGAATGAAGTTGCAGTAATTGCAGCAGAGAGATGACTCTCTGATAATCTGCAATACAATCTGTTGATAATTATTTCATAGTTTATCTTGATATTTATGTTGAGTTTTTCATAAATTTCATAACCTGGAATCAGATATGAAGAATGAAGTAATCATTTATCATAATTGAAAGAGAGCATTCTGTGTTGAATTGTAAATAATATAGACTTTGTGATTCACAGTGATTTTTTAAAGTGTTTATAAATCTTCAATAGAAGTAAAAGAAGTGAAAGAAGTGAATTTAGAAGATATGATAATAATTTAAAAAAGATAATAATTTATTTTCAATAACTGATCACTGATGTGTGTAAGAAGAATTAATATAAGAGAAAATAATCTTGTTTCTTAGCTTAGTTATAATTTTAGTACTAACTCAGATTGAATATCATTGATGTATAAAAGTAAGTAAATAATCTTAATTAATCTCTGTTATATTTCTTGAAATATATTAATATTATAAAAGAGAGTATTATCAAATTACATTATCAGATAATATTATTAAAAATATATTAATATTGTGAATATCAATATTGAAAAAATGTTGATACTTATACATTATAGTGATTTGTAAATCATGATAGTTAAATATATATATATATATATTATTCCTGACTTGATTACAACTTGTACAATAATTTTTAAAAACTCAAAATCAATTTTAATTATTAATAATTAAAAACTTAAACTTATAACTAACTAATATAAAAAGAAAAAAATCTACTTCTTCTCTTTCTCATTCTTCTTATTATTCTTTATAATTCACTTCTTATTCTTCTTCTTCTTCTTCTTCTTATCTGAGATAATAACTATCTTAAAATCTCTCTTCACTGCCTTCTCAGAGAAGGATTTCTGCTGCTCTCTCTCAGCCAGATTAATCTGTGTCTTAAAATCCTGCATTTTCTGATCTGCTGTCTTGAGTTCCATCTCAGCAGTAAGCAGATTAACATACTCAGAGAGTAGAACTGTCTTCTCAATATTCTGAATTATGAAGTGCATTCAAGATCTGAACAAGACTTCAATTCTCTTCTTCTCTGTCAGCTTCTACTAATCAATTAGAGAACAGAAGTATTATCAAAAATTATTATCTCTTAATAAGTAAAAAACTTATCAGTTTTGACTTCTTTATCTCTCACTTCAATACTCTCTCAATCTTCTTCTATCACTGCTTATTTACAATAATACTCTTCTTCTCTCTCTCTCTCTTTATCTTGAACTTAAATTATTCTCAGAACTTCTTCTGATCTTATTACTACTGCATGAGACTCTTCACTATCTTCTTCTTCAATCTCTCACAGGCAGTGTCATCTGTATTATTTCTATACTTAGTTCAGTCTAAATCTATCAGAAGTGTTACTTAAAATTATTATCATTCTACTCTTTTACAGAGTCTCTTTAAGATATTATAATATGTCTTATAATCTGTCTTCTCTTACTTGAACATCTTCTTCTTCTCTCTCTTCAATCTGTGATAGTGCTCACGCGCCTTGATGATCTGCAGAACTACAGAATATTTGAAGAGAGATAATATAATTAGTTTCAGTGAGTGTTAAAGAGAGATGAAGACAGAAGAGACAGCCAGAAATAATATAATAATAATGATGATGATAATGATAATGATAATGATAATAATGATAATAATAGTGATAATGTTGATAATGATGATAATAGTGATGATAATAATAATAATGATGATGATGATAATAATGATGATAAAAGAGAAAGTGCATTGAAATATATTACTGACTTATCAAATATAAAGAGATAAAGAAAATATTAACAGCTTTCAGAGATATATGAAAACAGCTATAGTATTGCATAGCAATATTATCTTCATTTAATGCATACAGTGTTGATATTCTTTGTATACAGTTATTATATAATCTATATCAGAAATACATGCAGAAAACAGATCTTTATTACTAGAAAGAATGATTGCAGCAATTCTCTGTTTTCATATTATAAAGATAAGTTATTCTTATTTCTTTCTTCTCTCTTTTCTCTTCTTCTTCAACTTATCACTAAGTTCAAGCCAGTATGAAAACTATTAAAACACTCTTAGAAATCCTTAAATTGAAGAGTATAGACTAATCAAATTTTAAATACAGAAGAATTAAATTATATTCAATATTACTAATTATTCATTCTCTCTTAATAAAATCATAGTTGTGTCTTTCTCTCTCTCTTCAAATGAAACATGGCTCATGAAAAGTGAGTATTACATCAGATTATAATAATTAACACAGTCTCAGTACACAGAGCTGTATACACACTAGACTGACCGTGTGACCGTGTCTGGGACCAGGACCAAACTTTACAGTTATCACATTGCCTAAAAGCATTACTCCTGGTCATGGTTTGTGTTCATCACATTGATTTCAAATCCTGTTATTTCAAATATTAAAGATCTCAGATTCACTTTTCAAATAAAAATCTAGTCTCAGATAAAGAATATGTTTGAATTCTTAGTCACATTTTCATTCTGATCTCATTATTGAAAATGGCATCAAATGAGACCATGAAATCATTTCTCACTTACATAATATCATAACATAGTACTCATTTGTTGAAAATTCAACAGAGAGCATTATCAAATATTATTACTTTTCTGAACACAGATCATAATCAATATCATTTTAATTAAAAAAAAAAATGTACAATACAAAAAATAACAAAAAAACAAAAAACAAAACAACAAGAAAAAATCAAAACAAAAAAAAAAAAAAAATAAAAAAAGAGAAAGAAAAAAAGAAGAGAAAGAAAAAAAGAGACAGAAAGAGAAAGAAAATTAAAAAAAAAAAAAGAAAAGAAAAAGAAAAAAATAAAAAATAAAAATAAAAAAAAATCAAGATCACAGAGCTGCAGCATTCTCAAAATACTCACTCTTCAGAGTCTTTGCAATGTTCATCATCAATCATGTATCTCTCACAGTGAGAGTAACACAGCTGTAATGAGTCATTGTCTTAACATCACCTAACAAATAATCAGTATATATCTATATAAATGTGAATAATTAGAAAACATACACTTAAAAAGTGTGGTCAGGGTGGACTCTGCTGCCACTTGAATGACATCAAGAACAGAATGCTGAAATCAATGATTTCTCTCATCAATTTCATGAACAAGGTGTGTGAAGATGGCCTTGAGAAATATAAGATTCTCAGACTTCTGATAGAAACAGATCTTACAGAGAGACTCTATTTTCATCATATCAGAGACTGAGTGTTATTAAAAAGCATTACTTCAATACATATGCACTTACTGCAGCAATTCATTCTCTGCACATGTGACTGAGGGTTGTGGCTTTCCCACGCTGCACAGCTCTCTCTGAGATGCTGCTGCTGGTTTGCAATTCACACAGTCTCTCAGTTCAGCATGTGCTGCGCATATGCAGCCCTGCATGCTGGGGCTGTGTTGGTCATTATGGCCTGGCGTGGTACTCGCTTTTCGCGGGCCATGTTTTGTTTGGTTGGGAGAGGAGGAGGGGGATGCGACTGCTGTTTTATTTGAAGAGGGATGAGTAATTGAATCTGTAGAAGATAGGAGATAATTTGATTTCTTCTGCATTTGAAATTTGATTAGTCTATACTCTTCAATTTGAGAGTTTCTGAGAGTGTTTTAATAGTTTTCATATCAGCTTGGAATTAGTGGTTGATTGAACAAGAGAAAAGAGAGAAGAAAGAAATGAGAACAACTTATCTTTATAATATGAAAACAGAGAATTGCTGCAACCATTTGTCCTAGCAACAAAGATCTGTTTTCTGCATGTATCTCTGATACAGATTATATGATAACTGTATACAAAGAATATCAACAGTGCATGCATTGAATGAAGATGATGTTACTATACAACACTGTAGCTGTTTCTGTACATTGCTGAAAGCTGTTAATATTTTCTTTAAGTCTCTTTATATTTGGTAAGTCAGTAATATATTTCAATGCACTTCTTCTTTCATCATCATCATCATCATCATCATCATCATCATCATCATCATTATCATCATCACTATTACCATTATTATTATCATCATTACTATCATCATCATCATCATCATCATCATCATCATCATCATATCATTTCTAACCGCCTCTTCTGCCTTCACCTCTCTTCAACACTCACTGAAACCAATCATGTCATTCTTCTTCAAATATTCTGCGGTCCTGCAGACCACCAAGGCGCATGAGCACTGTCACAGATTAAAGAGAGAGAAGAAGAAGATGTTCAAGTGAGAGGAGACAGATTGCAAGACACATTATGATGCCTTGAAGAGACTTCATAAGAGAGTAGAATGATAATGATTTTAAGTAATACTTCTGATAGATTTAGACTGAACTAAGTATAGAAATAATGCAGATAGCGCTACCTGTGAGAGATTGAAGAAGAAGACAGTGAAGAGTCTCATGCAGCAGTAGTGAAATCAGGAGAAGTTCTGAGAATGATTTGAGACTAAGATGAAGAGAGAGAGAGAGAAGAAGAGTGTTACTATAAATAAGTGATGACAGAAGAAGATTGAGAGGGTGTTGAAGTGAGAGATAAAGAAGTCAAAACTGATAAGTTTTTTATTTATTGAGAGATAATGATTTTTGATAATACTTCTGTTCTCTAATTGATTAGCAGGAGCTGACAGAGAAGAAGGGGATTGAGGCCTTGTTCAGGTCTTGAATGCACTCCATGATCCAGAACATTGAGAAGGCAGTCCTGCTCTCTGAGCATGTCAATCTGCTTGCTGCTGGGGTGGAACCTGAGACAGCAGACCAGGAAATGCGGGATTTTGAGGTGCAGGTTGACCTGGCTGAGAGGAAGCAGCAGAAACCCTTCTCTGAGAAGGCAGTGAAGAGAGATTTTGAGATGATTATCACCTCAGATGAGGAGAAGAAGAAGGAGAAGAAGAATGAGAAGTGAATTGTGAAGAATGATAAGAAGAATGAGAAAGAGAAGAAAGATGATGAGTAGAAAAAGTTTTTTTCTTTTTATATTAGTTAGTTGTAAGTTCATAATTATTAATAATTGAAATTAATTTTGAGTTTTTAAAAATTATTGTACAAGTTGTAATCAAGTCAGGAACAATATATATATATATATATATATTTAACTATCATGATTCACAAATCACTATAATGTATAAGTATCAACATTTTTTCAATATTGATATTCACAATATTAATATATTTTTAATGATATCATCTGATAATGTAATTTAGTAACACTCTCTTTCACAATATTAATATATTTCAAGAAATATGACAGAGATTAATCAAGATTGTTTATTTACTTTTATACATTGATGATATTCAATCTGAGTTAGTACTAAAATTATAACTAAGCTAAGAAACAAGATTATTTTCTCTTATATTAATTCTTCTTACACACATCAGTGATCAGTTATTGAAAATAAATTATCATCTTTCTCAAATTATTATCATGTCTTCTGAATTCACTTCTTTCACTTTTTTTACTTCTATTGAAGATTCACAAACTCTTCAAGAAATCACTGTGAATCACAAAGTCTATGTTGTTTACAATTCAACACAGAATGCTCTCTTTCAATCATGATAAATGATCACTTCATTCTTCACATCTGATTCCAGGTCATGAAATTTATGAAAAACTCAACACAAATATCAAGATGAACTATGGAATAATTATTAACAGGTTGTATTGCAGATTACTGAAGAGTCATCTCTCTGCTACAATCACTGCAACTTCATTCAGAAATATTCATCATGAACTGATCATAGCTCTGAAGGAATTTTCCAACATCTGAAGTCATCAGAATGCAGACAACAAAAGAAAAATAATCAGAAAATTACTACTGAGCTGATAAGTTACTCTACCAGGTAACAATTTTTGATAACACTAACTTTCTAATTTGAAGAAAATCATGTGAAAATGACTCTGTACCAGTACTCTGATTTCACAACTCTCA